CTACACAGCGCAACAACCCAGAAGACAGAAATCTTCATACTCTGATGACGGAGGCAGTATGACCTCTGAAACGTTGGCAAACATCGACCAGACTACACAGCGCAACAACCCAGAAGACAGAAATCTTCATACTCTGATGACGGAGGCAGTATGACCTCTGAAACGTTGGCAAACATCCACCAGACTACACAGCGCAACAACCCAGAAGACAGAAATCTTCATATCATGCTCCACCTATATTAGACGGAGACCTAAATAAGTGAAGTGTGACCTCAATTAGTCAAGCAACTGAACCCTTCCGTTGTAACAAAAAACTGCAACCGACAGGACTTCAGATCCACCCAAAGTAATCAGTCTGAAAGTTCAAAACGAGACTCAACTTCATACTGAGCACTGTACTAAATAAGTATAAATGACGTCTTAGAGCAACACGGCCAAATCGTGGCTGAAACTAAATTCTACCTCAAAAGTACCACTAACTTTCCAGCAGGATAACAGTGTCAATTAACACCATCCTGTACCAAACACTACGTCTTACGAAACTGGATGCACATTCTTCATTTGCCAAGTCTTTGCCAGAGTGAATTAATAGATTCGGCAATATTAGTGGCCAGGGATTGGTATTACACAAATCTTGTTTATCCATCAGCTACTAACCAACCAATTAGCCAATCTTCTTCATACTTGTAGTTCGCATGTTCCCAATGTATTATATTACGATCTTTTTAAATATTATTTTCTCATTTCTGCCTAGGTCACTATCATGGTTCCTTTTGATATGCTTTTCAAAGCAAAATTTGTAAACGGGGTACCAACATTTCAGAGAAACAAACTGCTTCCACATTTAAGGCTGGTGGGGGCAGTATGTTCCTCCAAGATACTGGTTCCCTCTAAACCAGTGGTATTCAACCCCCGAGGGTACGCGAAGACATCTTAGGGGGTACGTGAAATTTTAAAAAAATATATATTATTTTATGATAAACACTGAATAATCAGTAATGTAATTTATTTAATTTATTTTAGATGTAGATTATATACTATGTATAACTTGAATTATACACCAACAACTTTGGGGGTACAAAGTTGAAGAAAAATTATATTTGGGGGTACGCGAACAAAAAAGTTTGAATACCACTGCTCTAAACAAACCGCACAGCATCGCAGCCTAGAAGACCATCCATCAGGGACACGTAACAGGGATTTTAAAAGCACGTACCTTTGCCATCCTGACAGGCGAAGGAGAGGGCGAGAGACAAGAGGAGGGAACCAACTCATGCATTGTTCCCGTCTTGAGTCGCAGCAATATCCTGGTATGCTCTTGTGATGCCACATTCTCCGTCTTCACTGACAGGCATACAGGACCCAAGTTCTCATCTGTACCTATGAGATTCAGGTGTTCCTGGAAAAAAAAATCCACACACCATGAAACGTTGCAATAGATAACAGGAACACTACTTCAGTGAAGATGCATTTGAAATGCAGTTAAAATAGCTTTGCTACTATGAGATGATTAAATTTGGGAACTTCCTGCAAATATTATATTTGGATCCATCTTCCTGTGTTGCGTCTGAAAATACGAAGACAATATTTAATCTGTTTCATACAGGTCTCTTACAATAAAATCACATAAATTCAAGGAGTCTAAACTGATGAGAAGAAATTATGAAAGACGTTAATGGGAGGACGGATGAAATTACAGAGGGGGTGTGGTGGTCATGTGTGGGGGAACTGTGAAACATTTTAATCAGAAAGGGAGAGAAAACCAAGGAGTCACAGGTTTTTTTACTTAGATTTATAACCATCTTCTTGTCTCCATTGAAACAGAGACGCTAAATGCAATTATTAAACAGACAATGGCTGAACAAATGAACATAAAATTTGGTATGGATATTATGCCACTGTAGACTTCCCAAAGACATATATATTATTTTCCAGTAACAAACTACAAACGTAACGAATTCTCAAAGTCGTGAGGTGCGACGATTATGATGACATTACCGTGATCCTCTGCGCATGCGTAAAACAATCAAACATAACCCAGTTTGACAACATCCGCCTGTATACATTTAATGACTAGAGAATGGCTGGACGGACATTAATGAAAATTAATATGGACATTATGCCACTGGAAATTACTCGGAACTCATACTTTTTTAAAAAAAAAATTTCTTGTGTCCGTCCTTCATAATTTCATTTCAGGCCAAGTCTTCAGAACATTTCTTAGAATCTTGAACTTCATTCCTGTCACTTCATAACTCAACAATTCACAACAATCCCATTACCTAGCAAATTATTCAGTATAAAAAATGTGCCTCGACAAATGATCGAATTCCTTTTCGCAAAAACTCCGACATTTCAGAGACATCTCCAACATCGGACTCCGATAGGTACTGGTGGCTATTCGCCCGTGAAGACTATTAAATCTTGTCGCCGTGAAAAATTGAACGTTTTACATAGTCCAAGTCTCCTTGTCGCTGATCTTCCAACATTTTTATCTGAAAGCAGATAATACTGCCAGACCTCTTTAGGAATAGTCGTTTCCTTACATACTGTGGCCAGTTTCAATTATAATTCAATACTTTTTAAGAAGTGTAAAATAACTTGAAAACTTACATGTAGTATTTACTAAGAGCATTTCGAAAAGTATTTTATCGACTAGACTCGTTGCTTTTTCTAATGAGGAGCAAAGTTAATACTTTGCTCAACACATGTTAAGGTGAACATTTTCTATAAAAAAGAATTCCTCCTCGTTTCACACATTTTAGAACAGAAAGGGTGTTATACAATTACCTTTTCCTTCGAGAAACATTCGTCATTGAGGTAAGAATTTATGAGGAATTTTGAAAGATCTATATAAAAAAATATACCTCGGCACTTATCAGGTCTTACAGCTAATCATGTGCAAATTCTCAATAACAGAAATGCACAATGCTCTGGAAATATAAACGCAGAAGTGAGGCGCTTCCAATACAAAAAACCAGCATGAAAATGGTTAACATACGAGCTCAAGGCAACGAAGACACCGATTTTCGTCGTCTGAGACAAGACGCCGTGTGGTCTTGTAGGCCACTATCAGCGTTTCGGTGGAACGAATCGCCTTAATTTTCAGGGAAAAATCACTTCACCCTACCACACGGCGTAACAACCCAGAAGACCACAATCGTATGTTAACTTTTAACACGACTTGCATTTCCAGTCTGTGAGGCCATGTCTTTACGACCCGATTGGCTGAACTGTCACGTCTGCGCGTTCTTGTGTTGGTTTGTATGCCCCAGTAACTAACTGTAGCTTACAGTATCTTCAAATCAGTTAGTTTGGGTTTTTTAATTTTATTTTTTTATTTACCAGGTGACTGAGTCGTGGATTGGCGACATAATTTCTGTTCCGAACGAAACACCTTTGCTAAAACTAACCTTTCCTTTCGTTCTGCAAATTGCACAGCCCTGACTGTGTCCACGGTTCATGAGTAACTCCTTCCTCGGATTCGGCGCGCTTTGTACCATCTTAAAGACAAATAAAGTAAAAACTCGACTGTAACGGAATCCCAGGACACCCGAAGAGTTTCGCGTTTACTGAGCACCATACGTACTCAGTTTGCACCATTTCGCCTCGAGTAGCACGTGGCTGTTATTGGGTTTCGTTTTAAATGGCACATCCTGTGCTATGAGCTGTTGTCCCCTCTAACTCAGAACTACACATAAAGGCGAAGCACATGCAGGCTCAGGCTTCAACGCTGACAATACAAAGGAACTGAAATGTCAACGAACCTGGCCGCCATTAAGTTCGTGACATTTCCGGAAGTGCCACAGTTTAAGGAAAACTAAACTGGAACTTACACTTTGCAAGAAACACAAGTAGTACGACATGTGAATAAGCAGGCACAATTCCCACCATTACTTTCTGCATACAGCGCGCCTACAAATGCTTTCGCCTGCTGTATCCTATGCAATGTGAATTCACAGAGTTGAGTTGAGTTTCTCAATGCGGCGAGTATAAAGATGACTATCTCGTGGGAAATTGAACCGGGCAGTCGTAGAAATAATCGACGTTTTGGAGGTGCTTACTGCCTCCATCATCAGGACGATTCGCTATGATGAGAGTCTTCTTTACATTTCGAGTTGCATGCCAAGATGCAAAATTGCCCAAGCTTATCGATTTTCTCCTGGCCGAGCAAGTGAAAACAAAAATGAATATTATTGGTGCACGCCATCTGCTCAGAATACCTCGTGAAGTATGCAATTATTTATTTATTACATATAACTTTTTCATCCTTTAAGGATAAGGCCTTATGGCGTGTTCGGATTCAGAAATACTTCTGAAATTATGAACGGATTTAGGCAGGCAGTAGGACTCCTTGGATGGGTGATCAGTACATCGCAAGGCCTTCACTGATACAGGAAAACACTCATATCGCACCCTGAAGTGAGCCCACCCTGAAAATAGAACCCATATTTTCCTCCGAAACGCTGGTAACCACGTGCAAGGCCACGAGGAGTCACAATCCAGAAGATCATAATTGACTCTTTGACGATGGCTGCAGGTCCCAATTTCAGCAATTCTGCGATTTTCACAGTGTTTTTGTGGATTTAGTATGACTTCAGGATAATCAGTAATTATTTTATTAAACTACATTAACCACTGGTATTTGCAATGGAGCAGGACTGTGTCTTCTTTGAGGTGGGGAACGCAGATCTAGATGTGATAATTGGTTATTACGATAACTATAGAAGACTTTAGTTTCTAGTAAATGCTAACATTTTAATGAAAATGACTCCTTATAGTATAACAATTTAGTTCAGACTGCTATTAAATATTTATTTCAATTAAAGAAATAGGATCGAAAGATCTCACCTTGCATTTCTCATTACAAATGATTGAGGCAGACAGTGAAGTTACAAAATGACTTTCGGATCAATCAATCAAGTAATCGTTCAGGATTCGCCATTAGCTTTACATTCCATCCGGCACTGCAAAACTTGTGCAGATGATACACAGAAATTCAACAAATCGAACCGGATATAGGAGTCGGATGACGTATAGGGCTACTAAATGTGTGGGCTGGGACCGATTTCTGCTACACACTAGGACTTGAAGCCAACCCAGTCGTAGGTCAATGATGCAATTAGAGTACACAGGATACCACCACATCTTGCGGGTAATACAAGACGAAGAACTGAGTACATTGTTCTGCGTGGCGCGTGAGAATGATCCCACACACACCGCATGCTGTGGGTGGTTACGAGGTCGACCATTCTCTCTGTCAGACACAATTGTGAAGGCACATGGGAGTGACTAGTGGTTAGTCTGCCTTAAATACTGTTTCCATCTTGTCATTCCTTAAGAATGCCAGTAGAAAGGCTCGTATACAAGTTTCATATAATTCATAAGAAACATGAGAAAACAACTGAAAATAGATTAATACATGCGTCACCATGAGATCAGTTGATAGTTTCATTTATATTGATAAAATTTATTGGACATGGTGGCAAAGAGGATGGTGAGAACTCGAAAATCGTTGCTACTTATTTCATTAACTTCGCTAGTCCAGCTCACTTGGTTACAACAGTCAGTAATCAAATAAACATTCTGATGCACAATCAACAAGTAAAATTTAGCTACCAAAACCGTCATATCCAAAAGAGCTCGCCAATGGTACCTATTCACATATTTTTTAAAGATCCATCTTAATGTTATACTCCCACCCACACCAAGGTATATCAAATGATCTCTTTCCTTCATGGCATGGTTGAAGAAATGACCCTGTACTTCTTAATTTCTAATTAATCCCTCATTTTTGCGACCGCTGTACCAAGACATGTATAATAAGAGTTCTACTACGACTCGCAGGAAGAAAGAATCTATACTTTTCTTGTTGTTACAGCCATCTACCAATCATTTTCCTGTTTCTCCACGGCAAGGCTCCATACACAATGACTACACCTCAGGTTCCAAGGCCTCTTGCTGGGGTTATGAACAGGTGAATCATCACGTAAAAGGACGGAAGAGGGGGGCTAGGAACGGAAACGAAAAGAAAATACGTTAAGGGGAGGGGCAGTAGTCTGTCCAGAAGGCGAAACAAAATTCACATTTCTAATGGCGTTTCCGCTCAGGTTAAAATCATGGTATCGGTTGAATAATGTCTGGGACAAATCCGGTTCGAATTCTAACAAGCAGAATCATTAAACTAGCCCACACAGCGAAAGAATGATCAGCAATTTATTACACAAGCGACGATTATTGATAGGTTAATAATAAAGTATTCTATTTTAACTAATATCATTATGAGACTATCAACTAAGGAAGGATTTAGAAGAGGACTTTTTGCTTATTAGAAGGTTCTACCAAGGTTCAAGTTTACATTCCAAAACTTACGGAAGACCCCATCCCGATAACAAATTTCGTGACAATCTTTTCGGAGGAACGTAGATTGAACACAAGCCTCTGAAGATAAACACCGAGACGTGTCAACGTTAAAACCTCTTACACTGTAATCATTGCAGCAAACAAGACGGCCACCGTTTTAATAAAAAGTGAGTAATGCGAAAATTACCATAATCATCATTCCGTTACAGTTGAAGTTAAGTAGAGCACGTACAGAGCCGTACAAGATAGGCAACTTCTCCGACATCGTTGTAATGTGGATCAGCCTAATTGAACGACGCAGGCGTTTATATTTCTTAGACCAGGGTCGTGTGAAAACCATTTATCGCAGCCTACACTGTTGCAGAAACGATTTGGTGTCTAATGAAATGCAAGGATGCCCATGAATG